CAGGTAACGTACCTGCAGGGCACCGAACGCCACAGCCCTATACTTCATGTACTGCTTGCGCTTTCTTCCTCCCCGCCTCCCCCTCCTTCTTCTGCAGATCCCCCAATCTTAGGGTACAGCGTCCCCAGCAGCTGGAACACGATCTGAGCGTTGATATACGGCACGATGCCCAGCGAAAAACAATCCCAGCCGTCCAATCCCGCCCCCTGAGAGCGTGTCTAGGGTGGCCAGGAATGAGCCCTCCCCCAGTTGCTCCTGGAAGGCGGAGATATCGACGCCCCACAGGGGAATGTAGATTCCCACGCGGGATAGCGCGAGCAGACCCAGGAGCATGAGGAAATTTCTTGGGTAAATCGCCCTTGAAAAAGTCGCCGATGTCGATCTTGCTGTCCTCCACTGGAAAGGTGGTGCGGGTCAGGTCAGGGGGAGAGGTGAACGGGAGGCAGAGGGGGGAGAAAGAGGAGGGAGAACAAGGCAGAGAAAGGCAGAGAGATATAGTGGGAAGGCGGGGAGGAGGGATGAGGGAGAGATTGAAGCAGGGGAGGAAAAAAGGAAGAGGGAATTCGGTTTAGTCTTTTTTTTTTTCCCTCGCCCCCCCAAGTCCCCCCAAGTCCCCCCCCCCCTCCCACCCACCCGGGGGGGGATGGAGGGTGGGGGAGAGGGGACAGGGGGGACGGGAGGGTGGGAGGAAAGGAATAACATTCTGATGTATGTATTGAAATAATTATCACAATCAAGAATCACGGAATATTCTCTCAATTCAAGCTAGAATCAGCCAACCAGGCTTTGTGACTGTGACTGTAATGAAGGTGGCTGTAATGAAGGCCGACATCGACCCGGGGGTTTACTGCAATGAAGGCGACTCGACTCGGGGGTGACCTGCAATGAAGCGACTCGACTCGGGGGTGACTGCAATGAAGGCGACTCGACTCGGGGGTGACTGCAATGAAGGCGACTCGACTCGGGGGGTGACTGTAATGAATGCGACTCGACCCGGGATTGACTGTAATGAAGGCGACTCGACTTCGCGGATCGGCGTGACTATAACCAAGTTCAGCGGCGGCATGGCCAGCCTCCTGTCAAGAGAGGCATGCCACGTCAGCACTTGTTGCCACGTCAGCAGGACCTGGGTTGAGGTAGGGCCTGGGTCCCGGTTCGGGTATGGGCTGCCTCACGTCTCTGCCCCGGGCCTCACGTCTCTGCCCCGGGCCTCACATCTCTGCCCCGGGCCTCACGTCTCTGCCCCGGGCCTCACATCTCTGCCCCGGGGCCTCACATCTCTGCCCCGGGCCTCACGTCTCTGCCCCGGGCCTCACGTCTCTGCCCCGGGCCTCACATCCTCTGCCCCGGGCCTCACATCTCTGCCCCGGGGCCTCACATCTCTGCCCCGGGCCTCAATACCTACCATAACCAACAAACACCACCTAACATTATCTACCACAGAAACATAACATAATCCTAAACAGCACCTAAGTAAGTTTGATGCATTTTTTGTGAACATTTCTAGACATTACTACGGTACGGGGAATCTTTATCGCACCTGCAATTCGTAGTGGCACCTGTGCAAGGTCCACGGGGGGGGAGGGGCGGGGAGAGAGAGGAGGACGAGAGGAGAAGAGGAAATGCGGGTCAGGGGAGGTGCTATGAGGGGCAGGGGGCAGGGGGTGATGATAGCAGCAAGCACTGCAATAAGATAGCCGCAAGCATAAGCAAGCAAAGCTCATTCCCCCCCACCATCCATGCGCATTTCCACCCTGCACCGCACACCACCCCACCCCACCCAACACACTCACCATGTCGTGGCCGGGGCAGTTGGTGAGCTCGATTGGAGGTGGCGACTCCCTCCCCCGCCATCTCCCTGACATGGCGGAACGGACGGCACGAGCAAACGGGGCAAAGCATGGGCAAGGGTGCAACGCATGAGCAGAGGGGGAAAGGCATGGGCAGGGAGAAACGGCATGAGCAGAGGGGGAAAGGCATGGGCAGGGAGAACGGCATGAGCAGAGGGGGAAAGGCATGCGCAAGGCGGGAATGCATGGGAAAGGCGGAAATGGCATGCGCAAGGCGGAAAGGCATGCGCAAGGCGGGAAAGGCATGCGCAAGGCGGAAAGGCATGGGGAAGGCGGAAAGGCATGGGGAAGGCGGAAATGCATTGGGCAAGGCGGAAAGGCAGGGGAAAGGCGGACATGCATAGCGCAAGGCGGAAAGGCATGGGAAAAAGGGGGGGAACGGCGCGCTGACCTGCTCCGCGTGCAGCATGCTCGCCGGTGCTGGTCCGCAGGCGAGCCCAGCAGCGCGCGCGGCGCTACCTGGTGAGCGCGGTGGGCGCCGTCACGGCGGGTGGAGCGGCGGCGGGTAGGCGCTGCTAACGCTGGAGCCTGTCGTCCCTGCACAGCAAGGGGAGGGAGGGGCAGAGGGAGAGCGGAGGAAGGGACGGAGGGAGAGAGCAACGAGAAACCAAGAAAGGCAAGAGGGGTTGAGGACTGAAGTGAACTGTTTGGAAAGAATGCTCACGTAGGAGAGAAATGGGAAACATAACGGGAATTCCAGGGAGAAAACAGATAAAGAGGACAAAACGAAATAAAGTAATAAAACAGTAGAACAAAACGGATTTTGCATGGCGCATGGCACACATGCAGTCGCATGGCGCACATGCAATCGCGTGCTCATGAAATTTCAGCGTGCGCACATGCAGTGACAGTGCGCACCTGCTGGAGGGAGGAATAAGGGCCCTCCCACAGTGCGGGAGGGATCCGCCGCCTATGTTGAAATCCCATGGGGGAAGGAATTCGAAGTCTAACGTGGGGAAGGCATTTAAGACCACTGATCGAGATGGGAGAGAAGGAATGGAGATCGGGAGAGCGGAAAAACGGAGACTAACGTGGGAGACGAAATTAGGAGATGAGCTGCGACCGATATGGGAGAGAATGAGTGGATCGGGAGAGCGGAGCTATGGAAAGTAACGTGGAAAATAATGGAGTTGAGATCGAAATGGGATGGGGATGGGATTGGGAGAGAAGCAAGGAAGGAGGAGTGGAGGAGATCGGGAGAGGAGTTGGAGAGGAGAGCAAGCAAGCAGATTTTGTTGACTCTCGCCACTGTAGCGCGAAATGACCAGCACCCTCGCCTCGGTCACCAAAACAGAAACGAATTGCAACTCTTCATACAAAAAAGGAACACTCCTCACCCTGGAACATGTAAACCTAAAACGAAAATAAGAGTGTACACCTAGAATCCACCTGCCCTGCACCAAAAAAAACGATGGTGGGGACCAAATCTCAAAATTCACACACATTGCAAACCAAGTCGCGGAGCACAACACAAGCCTCCAATCCAAATCAAGTCGCTAAACACAAGTCGCGAAACATCCCACCGGTCCAATCAAACAGCACAAGCCATGCCAGCTAGCGCGGTCTGGGAAGTGACAGAAACGAGACTCGGATGATGTACAATCCAATATACAGTCATTGGTGCAGCGCTGGCGCGCTGCGCGATCCGCCTGGTGCCTGCAAACTTACTTTCTTATCAATCTATTCCCATGTACATGGGAATAGATTGATAAGAATGTAAGTTTGCATTTTCCTGGTTTATGTTTTCCTTCACGATGCATGCATTGTTATAAGCAAATATTCCAGAAAACAAGTGGGCTGACCCTGGTGTTGGTTGGTACATCTGCAGCAAAATCTTAGGCTAGCTAGTTCCTAGCTACCTATTTTTTAGCTATCTATTTGCTAGCTACCTAATTCCTGGCTAGTTATAGCCTGGCCTTGCCAATTCCTAGCTAGCCAATTTCTGGCCTGCCAACTCCTTGCTAACTCCTAGCCAATTCCTAGCTTGCTATTTCCTAGCTAGTAGCTAGTTAATTCCTAGCCAGCCAAATCATAGCTGGTAACTAGTTCCTAGCCAGCCACATCCTAGCAAGCTAATCCCTAGCTAGCTGCCGTAATTCCTAGTCAACCAAATCCTAACTACCGTAGCTAATTTGTAGATAGTTTACTACTCCTGGCTAACCTACGAGAAAGGGGCATCTGCGAGGGCGTGTTCCGGCTTCGTCTGTACGCGGTAAACACGATTGGATGTATCAGGGATGTGTCAGGAAGATGCTTCCTTGTGTCACACTCATTGTGGAGTTGATGAAAAGACTGACGTTGCAGATAATGACACCATCTCAAATCGACACGCAACAGGGCCTGGCCTGCAATCGTGCCAACCAAGCGATGGCCCCGATACAAACACAGAGACTCAAAAGCTTGAAGCAATCTAATTCAGTAACGCACCACTCCATGCGCTTGACATTGATGTCATTCAACACAGAAACCTTGGTCGTCACGATGCAAGTGTGTAACACTCTATCATGCAGTTGCTTGAACCTAGTTTCACATCAACACGAAGCCACAAGGTACTTTATACGATACCTTGTGCACACCGATGCTGCTCTACTCTAAATATCCAGCCTCAGCATTCACCTAGGAGGCGGAATCCCTCCACCACCCGCACTGATATCATCCAGCTCAATCGTCCTATACTTCTGCGAAACCAGCTCCGCCTGCACCTTCCTGGCTGTATCGGTAGCGCATCCGACTAAAATGAGGATGGGACGTTCCAGCAAACCCCCGGAAGGCCGTGAGGTGAGTGATTCCTTCCACAAGAGCCGGCGCTGCTGCCATCGTGCCGAGAAACGCCGACCCGAGCACCGAAATGCGGGTGAGGACCTGGTGTTAAGTAGTTAAAGAAGCAAGAGTAATGGGGAGAAAGGGAGAAGGGGATGGGAGGGGGAAGGAGAAGCCAAAGAGGGAAAGGAAACACGAGTGGGGAAAGGGCTGAGAGGGAGCCGGCCAGGAGTCATCATGGAGTGTTTGCGAGGCCAAACGGAGCTTGGTGATGAGCATGGCTGCTGCCTTGCCAGGCCTGGTGTAGGCCACAGACGCGCCCTGCCTCTTGAGAAAGTGGGCCGTATGCCGGATTTACGAACGTACAATGAGTGAACAAGGGCGACTCACCTTGGTGATGAGTGCGGCTGTTGCTTTGCCGGGCCTCGTGTTGGGTAACGGACGCACCCTGCCTCTTGAGCTGGTCGCTGACATCAGCAGGGTCGAGTTGCAGGAAGGTGTAGAAGTAGTTGAAGAAGGCAATGAGTGCCACGTTGGCGGGGAGGTAGAAGAAACCTGGGGATTAGCGGAACACATGGGGAGAGAGGATGTTGATTGAAGATGCAAGGAGAAAGAAAGGAGAAGGAGCGAGTAAGTGAGTTGCAGGAAGGTGTAGAAGTAGTTGAGAAAGGCGAACAGTGCCACGTTAGCAGGCAGATAGAAGAAACCTGGAGATTAGCGGAACACATGGGGAGAGAGGATGTTGATTGAAGATGCAAGGAGAAAGAAAGGAGAAGGAGCGAGTAAGTGAGTTGCAGGAAGGTGTGGAAGTAGTTGAGAAAGGCGAACAGTGCCACGTTAGCAGGCAGATAGAAGAAACCTGGAGATTAGCGGAACACATGGGGAGAGAGGATGTTGATTGAAGATGCAAGGAGAAAGAAAGGAGAAGGAGCGAGTAAGTGAGTTGCAGGAAGGTGTGGAAGTAGTTGAAGAATGCAATCAGTGCCACGTTGGCGGGGAGGTAGAAGAAACCTGGGGATGAGTGGAGCAGGGAAATCAAAGGGAGTGGAGGAGGGAGAGGGAGCAGGGAGAGGAGTGAGTGAGTTGCAGGAAGGTGTAGAAGTAGTTGAAGAATGCGATGAGTGCCACGTTGGCAGGCGGGTAGAGGAGACCTGGGGATTAGTGGAACACATGGTGGTAAAAAGAGTGAGAGGATGACGGAAAAGCAGAGTGATAAATTTGCAGTAAGGTGTAGAAGTAGTTGAAGAAAGCGATCAGTGCCACGTTGGCAGGCAGATAGATCGGTAAAGCGAGCTATGGAGTAGGGAGCAGGAGCAGTCTGGTTACCCTATTACTGACCTGTGGTTACCATGTAACATACCTCCAGGGTAGAGAGCTGTAGCAGCGGACTGGAAAGCAGCACTTCCGGTAAAGCGAGCGATGGAGTAGGGAGCAGCGAGGAGCGAGGAAGAGAAGATAATTGGCATGACTCCCGTTGAGTTGACCTGCAGAGGGGGGAAGAGGAAGAGACGGGTAGAGGGTAGATGAGAAAGATGTTGATCCGAGAGGGTGGAACATAAGAAAGACAAAGGAGAGAGGAGGAGAAGACGATTGGCATGACTTTCGTTGAGTTGACCTGCGGGGGGGATTAGAGGTTGGATAAGAGAAAAGAGGTGGTTGTGAGAGAGGGGTGGTTGGAGAGAATGGGTAGATGAGAGAGAAAGGAACGGCAGATAATTGAGAAGAGAGGAGTAAACGTGAGGCATGGCTTCTGTTGAGTTGAGTGTGGGGGTTGGTGGGGGGGGGGGGGGGAAGGGTGAGTGAGTGAGGGGTCGATGCAAGAAAAAGAAAGCGGTGTGTTACATTCGCGGGAGAGATGCTACCTTCGAGGGGGAGGTGTTACCTTCCAGGGGGAGGTGCTGCCTTTCAGGGGGAGGTGTAACCTTCCAGAGGGAGGTGCTGCCTTTCAGGGGGAGGTGTTGCCTTTCAGGGGGAGGTGTTACCTTGAATGGCAGGTACGCATTCCGCGTCTTGATGTTGTACCGAGACGCATAGTTGATTGGAATACGCCGCTCTGCCTCCTGCTCGGTGGAAGGGATTAAGTTGTGGTGGTGGTGGGGGTGGTGGGGGTGGTAGGGGGAGTGGGAAGAACGGAGAAAAGAGGACGGGGAATTTGAATTGGTTGTATCGAGACACATAGTTGACGGGAATACGCCGCTCTGCTTCCTGCTTGGAGGGAAAGGGGTAGTGGATAGGGTAGAGGGTGGGAGGGGAAGGGGAGGAGAGGGTAGAAAGAGAGTAGAGGGTGAGATGGTGCATGGGGTTGGTTGTACCGTTATGCGTAGTTGATGGGGATGTGACACTCTGCCTCCTACTCGGAGGGAAGGGGGAAGTTGGAGCTGGTTGTAGCGGCACATAGTTGTTGGGAATGCGACTCCCCGCCTTCTGCTCAGAAGGCTGGCAGGCAGGCCGGCAGAGAGGCATAGAGCAGGAACCCACCTGCACCCATTCACACCCACCTGCACGTAGACAATCCCAAGGACGAGCAGCAGGAAGGAGGCCGCAGCAGCGCCTCGCCGGTAACGTTCCCCTGCTCAGACGCCTCTGTGATGCAGGTAGGCAGGCAGGAGGAATATAGCACACCCATCCACACCCATCTGTACCGCACCCACCTGCACGTAGACGATGCCGAACACGAGCAGCAGGAAGGACGCGAGCAGCAGCGCCTCTCCGGTCACATTCCCTTGTTCAGAAGCCTCTGTGATCGTCCTCCCAATGGACGCCGGCAGGTAGGAAACGATATTGGTGAAGATGAGCAGAGAGGTGCCGTTGCCGAGCTTGAGATCAGTGATCTTGTCTCCCAGCAGGATGACTGCCACGGATCCCAAAGTGAGGCCCGAGACGGCGGAGACTGCCCAGGCGACCGACGGGTCGTAGGCGTACTGCTGTAGATATGCCACCTGTCCGATAGCCTGGGAGGAGGGCGAGAGGCAGGGAGGAAGGGAGAGCTTGAGGTGGGTGATCCTGTCTCCCAGGAGGATGACTGCCACGGATCCGACAGTCAGGCCTGAGACGGCTGAGACTGCCCAGGCGACCGAGGGGTCGTAGGCGTACTGCTGCAGATATGCCACCTGTCCGATTGCCTGGGAGGAGGGCGAGAGGCAGGGAGGAAGGGAGAGCTTGAGGTGGGTGATCCTGTCTCCCAGGAGGATGACTGCCACGGATCCGACAGTCAGGCCTGAGACGGCTGAGACTGCCCAAGCGACTGATGGGTCGTATGCGTACTGCTGCAGGTAGGCCACTTGGCCGATAGCCTGGGGAGTGGAGGGGGGCAGGGAGAAGGAGAGCTTGAGGTGGGTCGGTGATCTTGTCTCCCCGCAGTGGGGCGACTGAGGGGTCGTATGCGTACAACTGGAGGTAGGCCACTTGGCCTATGGCCTGGGGAGTGGAGGGGGAAGAATAGGGTGGGAAGCGGTGGGGTTGGGTTGAGGAGGGGCGACTGAGTGGTCGTATGCGTACTGCTGGAGGTAGGCCACTTGGCCGATAGCCTGTTGGCAGTGGAGGGGGGCAGGGAGAAGGAGAGCTTGAGGTGGGTCGGTGATCTTGTCTCCCCGCACGATGACTGCTACGGACCCGAGGCGCTCGTAATCTAGTAAAGACAAGAAGAATGTAATGAAATCAGGTAACGTACCTGCAGGGCACCGAACGCCACAGCCATATACTTCATGTACTGCTGCGCTTTCTTCCTCCCCGCCTCCCCCTCCTTCTTCTGCAGGTCCCCAATCTTAGGGTACAGCGTCCCCAGCAGCTGGAACACGATCTGAGCGTTGATATACGGCACGATGCCCAGCGAAAACAATCCCAGCCGTCCGATCCCGCCCCCTGAGAGCGTGTCTAGGGTAGCTAGAAATGAGCCCTCCCCCAGTTGCTCCTGGAAGGCGGAGATATCGACGCCCCATAGAGGAATGTAGATTCCCACGCGGGATAGCGCGAGCAGACCCAGGAGCATGAGGAATTTCTTGGGTAAATCGCCCTTGAAAAAGTCGCCAATGTCAATCTTGCTGTCTTCCACTGAAAAAAGGGAGAGGAGAGGCGGCGGGAGGCAAAAGAGGGGAGAGAGAGAGAGGAGTGGATAGGGAAAGAGGGAGAAAGGGGGAGGGAGAGGGAGAAGGGGAGCGAGAGGGAGAGTGAGAGAAAGGAGGGGAGTCAAGATAAGGATGAAATATGGGTGGCCAGGAATGAGCCCTCCCCCCCAGTTGCTCCTGGAAGGCGGAGATATCAACGGCCCAGAGGAGAATGTAGATTCCCACGCGGGATAGGGCGAGCAGACCCAGCAGCATGAGGAATTTCTAGGGTAAATCGCCCTTGAAAAAGTCGCCGATGTCAATCTTGCTGTCTTCGACTGGAGAAAGCGGGAGGAGAGGCAGAGAGACGGGAGAAGGAAGAGGAGTGGGATGGGGAAAGACAGAGAGGGAAAGTTAATGGGTGGCTGATATTGGAATGAGCCCTCCCCCAGTTGCTCCTGGAAGGCGGAGATATCGACGCCCCACAGAGGAATGTAGATTCCCACGCGGGATAGCGCGCACGAGCAGACCCAGGAGCATGAGGAATTCTGCTGCCGACCCGGCAGAGCCGGAAGATTACTGCTGCATACGCGGCTGTCAACAAACGCAAGGACCACGACCCTAAACCGCCAGCCCCTTCCGAGCCAAAGCGTGCACCCGCATATTCTACATGAGTGAGAATGCACCCACCTGCCGCAGCAGAGCCAGACGATTTCTGTTGCTGTGTTGCCTGGGCTACTGTCGACGAACGCTTGCTGCTGCTGCTGCTGCTGCTGCTGTTGCTGCCACTGGTAAGACCCATGCTTCCTGCAAGAGGCGATATGGACGAACTCAATGGCCCACCCTCTCCTGCATTGCCTCCCTGCAGCATTGTAAAATGGCGAAGGGGAGTGAGGAGAGGGTGGGAGCGGGGAGAGGGTGGGGATTCGGGAAGAACGAACGGGTGCAGGTGGGGTTGGAAAGAGTTTGGGGCACTTGAGACGTCTCAAAAAAGGGGAAGAGGGGTGATCATCTGAATGGCTCATAACGGGTACAGAGATAACCGGAAAGGTTATCGCTTGACGGTTTGTTGCCTGCCAAAATTTACTCCTACTTAACCATGCATGCGCACTCCTTCCTTGGTGCGGTTCTTTTTCTGCTCGACTGAAAACATTTGCCCGAATTTGATAATTTTTGGAAAATCCCACTGAGCACAAAGGTGCGGTGTGTGTGGTAAGGGAAAGCGTTTCTGCAGGTCCTTTGTTAGAATCCTCAAAGAAACCCACTGATCGCAAAGGTGTGTGGTGTGCCTGTGGTGTGCGTGTGGTGTACATGTGGTGTGCATGTGGTGTGTGTGTGGTGTGCGTGTGGTGTGCGTGTGGTGTGCGTGTGGCATGCGTTCTGACCTGAGCCGCTACCGGTCTCAGAAATGAGAGGAGGCGAGGGGAAGGCAATCGGGCTGCTAGCCTGTTGGGGAGATGGGGAAGATGCTCCTTGGCGAACGCTGCGATAAGGAGGGGGAAATTGGGGGGAAGAAGAGGGGTGGAGAGGAAGGCGATCAGGCTGATAGCCTGCTGGGGAGATGAGGGAGATGCGGGAGATGCTCCTTGGCGAATGCTGCGAGGAGGGAAGGGGAGGGAAGGGTGGAATTAGAGGGGACGGGTAGGTGGGGAAGGGGAGGGAAAGGGGGAGGATTGGATCGGACTTTTAGCCTGCTGGGGAGATGCGGGAGACGGTCCTTTGCGAATGCTGCACAGAGGGACGGGGAGCTGGAGAGGGATTGGCAGGGGAATAGCGAGGAGCGAAGATGAGTGGGAGATAGAGAAACGAAGGCGATCGGGCTGCTAGCCTGCTGGGCAGATGCGGGAGATGCGGAAGACGGTCCTTGGCGAATGCTGTGAGGAGAGACGGGGAGGCGGAAAGGGGATTGGGGGGAGAGGGAGGGGAGGGGATCGGACTTTAGCCTGCTGGGGAGATGCGGAACATTCCCCTTGGCGAATGCCGCAGGAAAGAATGGGGGGAGGGAAATACGGGGGTGTGAATTGGGGAGGGTGATAGGGACGCGATACGATCCTGAGGTGAGAGAAAGCTGCGTGGTGAATAAGCGGGAAGAATGCTCAGCCGCACGCTGAATGAGGGGATGGCGAACGCGGATAAACATTCGAGTGTCCGGAAAGTCAATATTGAGGGCGCTTTTGAGGCGACTCAACAGCTTTTGAGACGACTCAAAAGCTTGTGACGCGACTCAACAGCAGCACGCTAAATGAGAGGATGGCGAACGCGGATAGACATTCGAGTGTCCGGAAAGTCAATTGTGAGTGGATGGGGGTAGGGATCGGGACGGGAATGGGGATGGGGATGGGGACGGGGATGGAGATGGGGGTAGGGATGGGGAGCGGAAATGGAGGGTAAACAGACCGAGGATACTAAGGAAATCAAAGCAATCGGCGGAGCAAGTAAGAGAGAGGCGTATACCGACTAGAAGACCCGTGCAGCTGTCGGCTGCCTATGGAGCGGCAGGAACTGTTTTACGATGGTAATAACCACACTAATTAGAAAACTTGGTCAAGGATTTTGTTACAAACACCGTTGCACGTACGGAGGAGAACACAGTAATGGTCGTAAGAATGAATGCGAGTTACTGAGCGCTCATTGGTCCAGGATACGTATGTTGACAAAACGGGACATGGACACAAGTAGGAGGTGCATAAAAGAAGATCACTGACGAGAAAGCACCTGCGGTTCGAGGACCAGCCAGTGTGGCTGGCGATGCGAGGAGGGACGCCATTGTCTAAAGCCGCTCGTCAGGCCCAGTCTCCGTCTAAAGAACAAATGCGAGGCTTTGGTTAACCACGCAAATTTCGTGCGAATAGACGCAAAGTCGCGATGTTTCGCAAGCTCCAAACGGAAGTGCCAGAGGAGCTATGCCAAAAGGAGACGACCTGAAAATGGCGATCTCGCCCGCTCCTAAAGCGTAAGGCGCTTTAGTTGTCAGCTTGCCTTGGCGGAGGGTGACAAGTTCGAGAAATCAGAGGATAAGGCTCGCGAGATTTAACGAAATGTGACAGCCACAAGTCGCGTCGTTGGAAACAGGTTACCAAATGTCGTTGCGCCTTCATCACGTCGTTGAAGTTGCGCAAATTTGTTTCATCCTTCCCGAGGATTGCACGACGCGTGGCCCAATTGGAGAGGGTGGGATGGGGGAGGATCTTTGAGACTTTCGATAGTAGCTCAAATTCGTTTAGCTGCAGCCTTATCACATAATAAAACCGAGGATAAAACATATTCAAACATTGTATCTACCATATGAGACAACAATATCACCCTATCATGGTTTTTATGATTTGCTCAAGCGAGCAGGTGGCCTCAGCCACTGCTGAATGGGTCCCGCAAGTTTCTCTTTCTTAACTTGAACATGTTGGAGCCTCTCAAGATACCCCATTCTCTTACTCCTCAACCTCTCTAATTTCTCCTCAATGTGCGCAACCTTTATCCTTAGCCTCTCCTCCTCACTCACCCCATTCACTTTCACATTCACCTTGTTTTCACAATCCAAGTCACAGCAGCCCCCCTCGTCACTGCTTAAGTCCTCATGCTCCGTGTCGTTACTGAATCGAACACCTTCAACCTCCGCCTTGCCATAATCATCATTCCTCAGGTGAGCGACCTGCAGCTGCTCCAAGGAGCTTTCCACACGATAAGAGCAGGATAATGGGCTAATCACTTCACCCTTGGGAAGGGAAACTGCAACAGCACCACGAGAAGATACGCCCGGAGATGTGACTGTATCAGGGGTGTCATAAGAGCCACACAGACCCGGGGAGCTGACGGATGGAGCAAAGCCAGATGGCGAAGATGGGGCAGCAGCCTCAGGAAAGGGTTTCGGCGAGAATGATGATGCAAGTGTGGACTGTGGGGAGCAGAGGGACACCGGCGCAAGATGAGACAATGTTCCAGGTGCTTCAAAAGGCGTAGCACTCAAACACCTCTTGACATTCAGGTCCATCTCCCTTGGAAGCGGAAGGGTTGAGGACTCTGGACCAATGATAGTCCTTGGATTCACTTGATCTTGAGAAGCAGCAGAGCTCGGCCGGGAGAGCACAGGAGGGGCGGTCATGCAGGGAGGAATCACGACTGTTCGCCGATCCCTGGGAGCTTTTCTCCGATCTGATTCGCCGTGGGCTTGCTCTGACCGTTGGGATGGTTCCGCATTCACGTTATTCTTCGTCGGTATGATCCGATGATCTCGAGAGGTCTTTGGAGGAGGAGGAGAAGGACGAAGGAGAGGAGACGATAGACTGAGGGTCCAATGCTTCGGGTTTAAACCGGTTCGGAAAGTTCCGTGGGATATCTGATCAGGTACGGAGGGTTGCGGAACTCGGCGTCCTCCCGTCTCATCTCCGCCAGCTGCGTGCGAATTCTGGTTCCGGCACGCGTGGTCTGCCTCGTCATCGCTACTAGAATCACTCCCGCTGTTATCACTTGTGAAGCCATTCGTCGTCGGAGGAGCCGCGCAAGCGAGCATGCGCAGGGCAGCTCCGCGCAGACCTTGGTTCCGCAAATGCCGTTTCATCCCTAGCGGAATTCCCCTGCTTTTCATCTCCCCGCGTTCCATTCGACGCGCTAGAGCGTGATAGTCATGCAGTTCTGCAAATTCGGAGGCCGTTTCTCCGTTCATAGCGGCAAACGATCCTGACGAGGGGAATGAAAACGCCACGAAATCCACCAAGTACGATTGAAAAGAGAGGCGTGAGTGGAAGGAATTGTGCGTTATCGCGAGAATGTGCGGGCTGTCCCGTGATACTACAGCTGACATCAGTATCGACCACGCATTGTAGCCATGGCCGAGAATCTGCTTCTGCTGCTTCTCCTGCCAAGCAATCCCTGCTGCAGCGAAGGTGGTCCGAATCTCAGGCCATGGCAAGTTGCCAAGTTTCACACCTAGACATTTCCTGGGTCACACATGACAGGCTTCACCGAGCCACATTTATTGGTCAGAAACAAACCAGCCGAACCTCGGTTACAATTACAGGCCGCGTCGAACTTCACTCGAACAGGGAGGTTCGGGTTCGGTATGAAGCTAGGGCTGATGCATGGCGGTGGATAACGTTGACCGGCTCCCGCGTTGACGAAAATTCAAGCCTCAAAAGGGTTCCTGAAACCTAAACGAATTGTCCCGAGGCCAAAAACGTTGTAACCCCTTGACAGGGTTCGGAAGAAATGCCTTCAGGCTCGGACGGACGGACGCTCGGACCTTCGTCACTCGGTCCGGTCTAGTGACGCAAGAGAGAACTGGCCCACTGGCTGGCCTATGGCAGCGCTTGCAATTCGGCAGGTGGTGTACTGTAACGGCACGAAAGTGGTGCTGCTGCTGTAACGGTAATAGCAAATGTGCCGTTTCAGCTGCCAGCTGTACGGCTGAGCTGACCAGTCTCAAATTCTGGCAAGAAACCGTACGTTGCTACAGTGTTTGTCTGTACTCACTGGCTGAAGTCGGTGAACGATGCTTCGATAGAATGAATGTGTATCGACCAAGACAGCATATGGAAGCAAATAACCATTGCTAAACACAAACATGAAAATCAAACAGACGTCATCAATAACATGTACAGCTGTGCGGCATGGCTTGATAGCCTAAGTTAAATGGAAGGAGGAGGAGGCTCCCCAAACCAACGTGGAGGGTCATAACCTGATGGACCTGCAAACAGAATTCCATCCAATATCAAACAAGCAAATAGGAGAAAAACATGAAACATCTACAGCGAACGTGCAGTTGGACAGCAACAAAAAAATAACCACGAGTGATCCCTGACCAACCACAATAAAAAAATGAACAAATTCCTCACCGAAAGGGTTACAGCGTAACAATCTCCACGCAGTGAGAATCTCGCCTCTCAGAAGGCCGTACTTGCGCAGTGCCATAACTGAATACTCGCTGCAAGTGGGAACGAACCGGCACGAGGCCGGAATCCAGGGGGAAATCTCACCTGTAGAAATGAAAGTGAGAGACGGAGAGAGGGAGGGAGGGAATGAGATGAAAATCTATCATGAATAGTTACGCAGTGCCAAGACTGAGTACTCGCTGCATGTGGGAACGAACCGGCAGGAAGCTGGGATCCAGGGGGAATCTCCCCTGCAGGAATAAGAGCGGGGGTGGAGTGAAGGACGAGAGGGTGGAGGAGAATCATGACTGAGTACTCGCTGCATGTTAGGATGAAGCGACAGGAGGCTGGGAGGCAGGGGGAAATCTCGCCTGCAGGGTGACAGTGGCCCAGTGCGGGTGGAGTGGAGGGAGGGGGAGTGAGTGGAAGACCATGACTGAGTACTCGCTGCATGTTAGGATGAAGCGACAGGAGGCTGGGAGGCAGGGGGAAATCTCGCCTGCAGGGTGACAGTGGCCCAGTGCGGGTGGAGTGGAGGGAGGGGGAGTGAGTGGAAGACCATGACTGAGTACTCGCTGCATGTTAGGATGAAGCGACAGGAGGCTGGGAGGCAGGGGGAAATCTCGCCTGCAGGGTGACAGTGGCCCAGTGCGGGTGGAGTGGAGGGAGGGGGAGTGAGTGGAAGACCATGACTGAGTACTCGCTGCATGTTAGGATGAAGCGACAGGAGGCTGGGAGGCAGGGGGAAATCTCGCCTGCAGGGTGACAGTGGCCCAGTGCGGGTGGAGTGGAGGGAGGGGGAGTGAGTGGAAGACCATGACTGAGTACTCGCTGCATGTTAGGATGAAGCGACAGGAGGCTGGGAGGCAGGGGGAAATCTCGCCTGCAGGGTGACAGTGGCCCAGTGCGGGTGGAGTGGAGGGAGGGGGAGTGAGTGGAAGACCATGACTGAGTACTCGCTGCATGTTAGGATGAAGCGACAGGAGGCTGGGAGGCAGGGGGAAATCTCGCCTGCAGGGTGACAGTGGCCCAGTGCGGGTGGAGTGGAGGGAGGGGGAGTGAGTGGAAGACCATGACTGAGTACTCGCTGCATGTTAGGATGAAGCGACAGGAGGCTGGGAGGCAGGGGGAAATCTCGCCTGCAGGGTGACAGTGGCCCAGTGCGGGTGGAGTGGAGGGAGGGGGAGTGAGTGGAAGACCATGACTGAGTACTCGCTGCATGTTAGGATGAAGCGACAGGAGGCTGGGAGGCAGGGGGAAATCTCGCCTGCAGGGTGACAGTGGCCCAGTGCGGGTGGAGTGGAGGGAGGGGGAGTGAGTGGAAGACCATGACTGAGTACTCGCTGCATGTTAGGATGAAGCGACAGGAGGCTGGGAGGCAGGGGGAAATCTCGCCTGCAGGGTGACAGTGGCCCAGTGCGGGTGGAGTGGAGGGAGGGGGAGTGAGTGGAAGACCATGACTGAGTACTCGCTGCATGTTAGGATGAAGCGACAGGAGGCTGGGAGGCAGGGGGAAATCTCGCCTGCAGGGTGACAGTGGCCCAGTGCGGGTGGAGTGGAGGGAGGGGGAGTGAGTGGAAGACCATGACTGAGTACTCGCTGCATGTTAGGATGAAGCGACAGGAGGCTGGGAGGCAGGGGGAAATCTCGCCTGCAGGGTGACAGTGGCCCAGTGCGGGTGGAGTGGAGGGAGGGGGAGTGAGTGGAAGACCATGACTGAGTACTCGCTGCATGTTAGGATGAAGCGACAGGAGGCTGGGAGGCAGGGGGAAATCTCGCCTGCAGGGTGACAGTGGCCCAGTGCGGGTGGAGTGGAGGGAGGGGGAGTGAGTGGAAGACCATGACTGAGTACTCGCTGCATGTTAGGATGAAGCGACAGGAGGCTGGGAGGCAGGGGGAAATCTCGCCTGCAGGGTGACAGTGGCCCAGTGCGGGTGGAGTGGAGGGAGGGGGAGTGAGTGGAAGACCATGACTGAGTACTCGCTGCATGTTAGGATGAAGCGACAGGAGGCTGGGAGGCAGGGGGAAATCTCGCCTGCAGGGTGACAGTGGCCCAGTGCGGGTGGAGTGGAGGGAGGGGGAGTGAGTGGAAGACCATGACTGAGTACTCGCTGCATGTTAGGATGAAGCGACAGGAGGCTGGGAGGCAGGGGGAAATCTCGCCTGCAGGGTGACAGTGGCCCAGTGCGGGTGGAGTGGAGGGAGGGGGAGTGAGTGGAAGACCATGACTGAGTACTCGCTGCATGTTAGGATGAAGCGACAGGAGGCTGGGAGGCAGGGGGAAATCTCGCCTGCAGGGTGACAGTGGCCCAGTGCGGGTGGAGTGGAGGGAGGGGGAGTGAGTGGAAGACCATGACTGAGTACTCGCTGCATGTTAGGATGAAGCGACAGGAGGCTGGGAGGCAGGGGGAAATCTCGCCTGCAGGGTGACAGTGGCCCAGTGCGGGTGGAGTGGAGGGAGGGGGAGTGAGTGGAAGACCATGACTGAGTACTCGCTGCATGTTAGGATGAAGCGACAGGAGGCTGGGAGGCAGGGGGAAATCTCGCCTGCAGGGTGACAGTGGCCCAGTGCGGGTGGAGTGGAGGGAGGGGGAGTGAGTGGAAGACCATGACTGAGTACTCGCTGCATGTTAGGATGAAGCGACAGGAGGCTGGGAGGCAGGGGGAAATCTCGCCTGCAGGGTGACAGTGGCCCAGTGCGGGTGGAGTGGAGGGAGGGGGAGTGAGTGGAAGACCATGACTGAGTACTCGCTGCATGTTAGGATGAAGCGACAGGAGGCTGGGAGGCAGGGGGAAATCTCGCCTGCAGGGTGACAGTGGCCCAGTGCGGGTGGAGTGGAGGGAGGGGGAGTGAGTGGAAGACCATGACTGAGTACTCGCTGCATGTTAGGATGAAGCGACAGGAGGCTGGGAGGCAGGGGGAAATCTCGCCTGCAGGGTGACAGTGGCCCAGTGCGGGTGGAGTGGAGGGAGGGGGAGTGAGTGGAAGACCATGACTGAGTACTCGCTGCATGTTAGGATGAAGCGACAGGAGGCTGGGAGGCAGGGGGAAATCTCGCCTGCAGGGTGACAGTGGCCCAGTGCGGGTGGAGTGGAGGGAGGGGGAGTGAGTGGAAGACCATGACTGAGTACTCGCTGCATGTTAGGATGAAGCGACAGGAGGCTGGGAGGCAGGGGGAAATCTCGCCTGCAGGGTGACAGTGGCCCAGTGCGGGTGGAGTGGAGGGAGGGGGAGTGAGTGGAAGACCATGACTGAGTACTCGCTGCATGTTAGGATGAAGCGACAGGAGGCTGGGAGGCAGGGGGAAATCTCGCCTGCAGGGTGACAGTGGCCCAGTGCGGGTGGAGTGGAGGGAGGGGGAGTGAGTGGAAGACCATGACTGAGTACTCGCTGCATGTTAGGATGAAGCGACAGGAGGCTGGGAGGCAGGGGGAAATCTCGCCTGCAGGGTGACAGTGGCCCAGTGCGGGTGGAGTGGAGGGAGGGGGAGTGAGTGGAAGACCATGACTGAGTACTCGCTGCATGTTAGGATGAAGCGACAGGAGGCTGGGAGGCAGGGGGAAATCTCGCCTGCAGGGTGACAGTGGCCCAGTGCGGGTGGAGTGGAGGGAGGGGGAGTGAGTGGAAGACCATGACTGAGTACTCGCTGCATGTTAGGATGAAGCGACAGGAGGCTGGGAGGCAGGGGGAAATCTCGCCTGCAGGGTGACAGTGGCCCAGTGCGGGTGGAGTGGAGGGAGGGGGAGTGAGTGGAAGACCATGACTGAGTACTCGCTGCATGTTAGGATGAAGCGACAGGAGGCTGGGAGGCAGGGGGAAATCTCGCCTGCAGGGTGACAGTGGCCCAGTGCGGGTGGAGTGGAGGGAGGGGGAGTGAGTGGAAGACCATGACTGAGTACTCGCTGCATGTTAGGATGAAGCGACAGGAGGCTGGGAGGCAGGGGGAAATCTCGCCTGCAGGGTGACAGTGGCCCAGTGCGGGTGGAGTGGAGGGAGGGGGAGTGAGTGGAAGACCATGACTGAGTACTCGCTGCATGTTAGGATGAAGCGACAGGAGGCTGGGAGGCAGGGGGAAATCTCGCCTGCAGGGTGACAGTGGCCCAGTGCGGGTGGAGTGGAGGGAGGGGGAGTGAGTGGAAGACCATGACTGAGTACTCGCTGCATGTTAGGATGAAGCGACAGGAGGCTGGGAGGCAGGGGGAAATCTCGCCTGCAGGGTGACAGTGGCCCAGTGCGGGTGGAGTGGAGGGAGGGGGAGTGAGTGGAAGACCATGACTGAGTACTCGCTGCATGTTAGGATGAAGCGACAGGAGGCTGGGAGGCAGGGGGAAATCTCGCCTGCAGGGTGACAGTGGCCCAGTGCGGGTGGAGTGGAGGGAGGGGGAGTGAGTGGAAGACCATGACTGAGTACTCGCTGCATGTTAGGATGAAGCGACAGGAGGCTGGGAGGCAGGGGGAAATCTCGCCTGCAGGGTGACAGTGGCCCAGTGCGGGTGGAGTGGAGGGAGGGGGAGTGAGTGGAAGACCATGACTGAGTACTCGCTGCATGTTAGGATGAAGCGACAGGAGGCTGGGAGGCAGGGGGAAATCTCGCCTGCAGGGTGACAGTGGCCCAGTGCGGGTGGAGTGGAGGGAGGGGGAGTGAGTGGAAGACCATGACTGAGTACTCGCTGCATGTTAGGATGAAGCGACAGGAGGCTGGGAGGCAGGGGGAAATCTCGCCTGCAGGGTGACAGTGGCCCAGTGCGGGTGGAGTGGAGGGAGGGGGAGTGAGTGGAAGACCATGACTGAGTACTCGCTGCATGTTAGGATGAAGCGACAGGAGGCTGGGAGGCAGGGGGAAATCTCGCCTGCAGGGTGACAGTGGCCCAGTGCGGGTGGAGTGGAGGGAGGGGGAGTGAGTGGAAGACCATGACTGAGTACTCGCTGCATGTTAGGATGAAGCGACAGGAGGCTGGGAGGCAGGGGGAAATCTCGCCTGCAGGGTGACAGTGGCCCAGTGCGGGTGGAGTGGAGGGAGGGGGAGTGAGTGGAAGACCATGACTGAGTACTCGCTGCATGTTAGGATGAAGCGACAGGAGGCTGGGAGGCAGGGGGAAATCTCGCCTGCAGGGTGACAGTGGCCCAGTGCGGGTGGAGTGGAGGGAGGGGGAGTGAGTGGAAGACCATGACTGAGTACTCGCTGCATGTTAGGATGAAGCGACAGGAGGCTGGGAGGCAGGGGGAAATCTCGCCTGCAGGGTGACAGTGGCCCAGTGCGGGTGGAGTGGAGGGAGGGGGAGTGAGTGGAAGACCATGACTGAGTACTCGCTGCATGTTAGGATGAAGCGACAGGAGGCTGGGAGGCAGGGGGAAATCTCGCCTGCAGGGTGACAGTGGCCCAGTGCGGGTGGAGTGGAGGGAGGGGGAGTGAGTGGAAGACCATGACTGAGTACTCGCTGCATGTTAGGATGAAGCGACAGGAGGCTGGGAGGCAGGGGGAAATCTCGCCTGCAGGGTGACAGTGGCCCAGTGCGGGTGGAGTGGAGGGAGGGGGAGTGAGTGGAAGACCATGACTGAGTACTCGCTGCATGTTAGGATGAAGCGACAGGAGGCTGGGAGGCAGGGGGAAATCTCGCCTGCAGGGTGACAGTGGCCCAGTGCGGGTGGAGTGGAGGGAGGGGGAGTGAGTGGAAGACCATGACTGAGTACTCGCTGCATGTTAGGATGAAGCGACAGGAGGCTGGGAGGCAGGGGGAAATCTCGCCTGCAGGGTGACAGTGGCCCAGTGCGGGTGGAGTGGAGGGAGGGGGAGTGAGTGGAAGACCATGACTGAGTACTCGCTGCATGTTAGGATGAAGCGACAGGAGGCTGGGAGGCAGGGGGAAATCTCGCCTGCAGGGTGACAGTGGCCCAGTGCGGGTGGAGTGGAGGGAGGGGGAGTGAGTGGAAGACCATGACTGAGTACTCGCTGCATGTTAGGATGAAGCGACAGGAGGCTGGGAGGCAGGGGGAAATCTCGCCTGCAGGGTGACAGTGGCCCAGTGCGGGTGGAGTGGAGGGAGGGGGAGTGAGTGGAAGACCATGACTGAGTACTCGCTGCATGTTAGGATGAAGCGACAGGAGGCTGGGAGGCAGGGGGAAATCTCGCCTGCAGGGTGACAGTGGCCCAGTGCGGGTGGAGTGGAGGGAGGGGGGAGTGAGTGGAAGACCATGACTGAGTACTCGCTGCATGTTAGGATGAAGCGACAGGAGGCTGGGAGGCAGGGGGAAATCTCGCCTGCAGGGTGACAGTGGCCCAGTGCGGGTGGAGTGGAGGGAGGGGGAGTGAGTGGAAGACCATGACTGAGTACTCGCTGCATGTTAGGATGAAGCGACAGGAGGCTGGGAGGCAGGGGGAAATCTCGCCTGCAGGGTGACAGTGGCCCAGTGCGGGTGGAGTGGAGGGAGGGGGAGTGAGTGGAAGACCATGACTGAGTACTCGCTGCATGTTAGGATGAAGCGACAGGAGGCTGGGAGGCAGGGGGAAATCTCGCCTGCAGGGTGACAGTGGCCCAGTGCGGGTGGAGTGGAGGGAGGGGGAGTGAGTGGAAGACCATGACTGAGTACTCGCTGCATGTTAGGATGAAGCGACAGGAGGCTGGGAGGCAGGGGGAAATCTCGCCTGCAGGGTGACAGTGGCCCAGTGCGGGTGGAGTGGAGGGAGGGGGAGTGAGTGGAAGACCATGACTGAGTACTCGCTGCATGTTAGGATGAAGCGACAGGAGGCTGGGAGGCAGGGGGAAATCTCGCCTGCAGGGTGACAGTGGCCCAGTGCGGGTGGAGTGGAGGGAGGGGGAGTGAGTGGAAGACCATGACTGAGTACTCGCTGCATGTTAGGATGAAGCGACAGGAGGCTGGGAGGCAGGGGGAAATCTCGCCTGCAGGGTGACAGTGGCCCAGTGCGGGTGGAGTGGAGGGAGGGGGAGTGAGTGGAAGACCATGACTGAGTACTCGCTGCATGTTAGGATGAAGCGACAGGAGGCTGGGAGGCAGGGGGAAATCTCGCCTGCAGGGTGACAGTGGCCCAGTGCGGGTGGAGTGGAGGGAGGGGGAGTGAGTGGAAGACCATGACTGAGTACTCGCTGCATGTTAGGATGAAGCGACAGGAGGCTGGGAGGCAGGGGGAAATCTCGCCTGCAGGGTGACAGTGGCCCAGTGCGGGTGGAGTGGAGGGAGGGGGAGTGAGTGGAAGACCATGACTGAGTACTCGCTGCATGTTAGGATGAAGCGACAGGAGGCTGGGAGGCAGGGGGAAATCTCGCCTGCAGGGTGACAGTGGCCCAGTGCGGGTGGAGTGGAGGGAGGGGGAGTGAGTGGAAGACCATGACTGAGTACTCGCTGCATGTTAGGATGAAGCGACAGGAGGCTGGGAGGCAGGGGGAAATCTCGCCTGCAGGGTGACAGTGGCCCAGTGCGGGTGGAGTGGAGGGAGGGGGAGTGAGTGGAAGACCATGACTGAGTACTCGCTGCATGTTAGGATGAAGCGACAGGAGGCTGGGAGGCAGGGGGAAATCTCGCCTGCAGGGTGACAGTGGCCCAGTGCGGGTGGAGTGGAGGGAGGGGGAGTGAGTGGAAGACCATGACTGAGTACTCGCTGCATGTTAGGATGAAGCGACAGGAGGCTGGGAGGCAGGGGGAAATCTCGCCTGCAGGGTGACAGTGGCCCAGTGCGGGTGGAGTGGAGGGAGGGGGAGTGAGTGGAAGACCATGACTGAGTACTCGCTGCATGTTAGGATGAAGCGACAGGAGGCTGGGAGGCAGGGGGAAATCTCGCCTGCAGGGTGACAGTGGCCCAGTGCGGGTGGAGTGGAGGGAGGGGGAGTGAGTGGAAGACCATGACTGAGTACTCGCTGCATGTGGGGATGAATCGGCAGGAGGCCGGGATCCAGGGGGAAATCTCCCCTGAAGGAATGAGAGAGGAAGAGAAAGGGAGGGAGGGAGGGAGGGGATGAGATAAATATTTACTCAGTGCCATGACTGAATACTCGCTGCAGGTGGGGAGGGGCGAAACGTTACGAGGCTGGGATCCAGGGGGAAATCTCCCCTGCAGGGGTGACAGTGGGGCCGAATTGGAAGGGGGGGGCGAGGGGAAGAACAGATTGGAAGGGGGCGATGAGTAAGGCCGTACTTGCGCAGTGCCATGACTGAATACTCGCTGCAGGTGGGGATAACCGGCACGAGGCCGGGATCGTGGGGATGAACCGGCACGGGGGAAAGCTCCTCTGCATGGATGAGAGTGGGGTTGAAGTGGAGAGGGGAGGGGAGGGGGTTGAGTGGAAGACCATGACTGAATACTCGCTGCATGTGGGGATGAACCGGCATGAGCCTGGAACCGTTGGGGGAATCTCCCTGGAGGAGTGAGGAGTCAGAGTGATTGGATATTCCTGCATTTGGGGATCAGCTAGCAAGAAGCTGGAACCCGGGAAGGATTTTGAGGCGCCGCCAAAATATCTCCCCGGGAGGGAGGAGTGAGGAGTCAGAGGGACTGAATACTCCTGCATTTAGGGATCAACTAGCAAGAAGCTGGAACCCGGGAAGGATTTTGAGGCGCCGCCAAAATATCTCCCCGGGAGGGAGGAGTGAGGAGTCAGAGGGACTGAATACTCCTGCATTTGGGGATCAACTAGCAAGAAGCTGGAACCCGGAAAGGAGTTCCCCTCACAGTAACAGGAGGCTGAGATCCAGGGGGGGAATCTCCCCTGCAGGAGGGAAAGTGGGGGCGGAATGGAGGAGAAGAGAGTGGACGGGATGAGTCATGACTGAATACTCCTGCATTTTTGGATCATCAAGCAGCAGAAGGCTGGAATCCAGGGGGGGAATTTCCCCTGCAGGAGGGAAAGTGGGGGCGGAATGGAGGAGAAGAGAGTGGACGGGATGAGTCATGACTGAATACTCCTGCATTTTTGGATCATCAAGCAGCAGAAGGCTGGAATCCAGGGGGGGAATTTCCCCTCAAAGCGACGGGAAGCAGGAAATCTAGGGGGAAGGGACATTTCCTGCGGGGATGAGGAGAGGAGTGGAGAGGGAGTGGGTGGAAGAACATAACTGAGCAGTTGCTGCATGTGGGATGGATTCCAAATGATTTTCCTGAATTTATGATCAGGAGGGGAAGTGGGATGAGGAGAGATGATAGGGAGGCAAATGGAAAAGGAACAGGGAAAGGATACGGACAAGTTAGAGCATACAATGTCAGGTTTTTCCTTATAAACAACCAGACATATGGGTCCCGTCACAACTCACGTTTGTAGCACTTGAGGATTCGAACCGCGAGCTCCACAGCAGGAGAAGGTTGCGACTCGTCAGAAGCCTCTCGAGTCGACTCACAAGCAGGCGAGGGTTGAGCCTTGTCAGTAGGAAAAGCCCCCTCTCTCCTCTCACTCGCCTTTTGGGGCGCCTCACAACAACTCACGTTTGTAGCACTTGAGGATTCTAACAGCGAGCTCCACAGCAGGAGAAGGTTGCGACTCGTCAGAAGGCGAAACCCCCTCTCTCCTCCCACCCGCTGCGTCTGACCTCTCCCCCTCCTTCTCTGCTCCGACCTCTGCTGTTCCATACCCCTCTCGACCATTTCCCACTCCTCCCTCTGCCTGCTCGCGGCCTTCTTCGGTTTCCCCCCCACCACCCCCTGCAGCACCAGCATCCCTTTGTGCTCTCCTTTTCAAACCTCCGTCACTGCCGTCACCTCCGTCACCTTTTGTTCCCATTCCTCTCTCACGGTCTCCCATCGCTGTTGTTACGACAAGCGACCTTTTTGAGATTGTAGCAGAAGAAGTGACAGAAGAAGCTGCAGCGGGGAAGCACCACGGACAGTCACATCTCGCTGGAATCACATTCTGGTCCGCGTTACCGCGGCGGCCCTGACCGTCAACTGCTACGACGCGCCGCTTCCTCGCAACGACGGTCACATTTCTCCGCCGAGCCTGTGAACCTAAGCTGACGTCAGCGATGATGTTGCTAGAATTTGGATAATGATTTTCCAATAGACTACCCGACCAGGACATCCTCGCTGGATAGGTGCTGCATTTTAAGCTACAGAGACGTTGCGTACCACTATAGCGAGTATACGCGGTGTATTCGATCAGAGGGATTTGAGGTGCGACCTTCCCAGTGGCGTACGCAAGACAAACGGTCATATTGCTTTGTACGCACGCTTAGAAGCGTTCCCTGGCGGCCTAAGCTTCGCGTCAGGGATACTAGTGTTACTTATCGGAAGAAACTGGGGCATGCCGTGGAGGAAGTACCATCACGGTTGAAATCGGCATCAGACGGTTTGAGAAGGTTGGATGGGTTTAAAATACGGAGGTTTCAAGAGCGATTCGAACACCTAACACAAAGAAACAGGAAAGAAATACAGTCCCATTGGCATGTGTTAAAGAATTAATATTTCCGGTGGCTGATTTTCCTCCTCCTCTGTTCAAGGTACCGTACAAGCAAAGTTGCTAACACTTGGAATTGCTGGTAAATATGCTGCCGTTCTGGTATACAAACAACACCACAACTTACATGATACAGTAACTAACCTACCCTTGAGAAAACGGGGTGAACTAGGAAAATTGTTATGATAGAACGAGTTACGGTATATGAGTTGTTCAACATACGGTAGTTGGCGGAACCACACGAATAACGAAGCTGTGACAGTATGAACCGCCGATACAATGAATGACACAGGATATTGTAGCAGCCAAAATACCTTCGATGTCAATTCAAGTTGTCAACCAAACCGGCCGAACGTGCACTTCCTAAAGTCGGGGTTGTACAGTAACCTTTCAATTTATAACCTTCGTGAGCACATCAAGTCTCAGCTTTCGCAACCCCTGCAGCTCGAAAATTTCCACTGCCCTGACTCATTATTTTTGCCCGAGGGTTTCTCGTATTGGTTGACGAACTTCCGGGCGGCGAAGGAACTTGCGGCGGGCTGGGGGCGGGCGGCGAGGGGGACTGCGTCACCAGAGGTGGGGGTAAATTACCCCGGAAATGATTCGAGTGTTCCAAAGGCCGTTCTGTGCTGTTTCCAGCTGTCAAGCCAACCCCTGCTTCCAACCTTCCTCTTTCGAATATGCCTCGTCCCCCTCCTGCTTGCCCCCTGCCCCCCCCACCTCCCCCTCCGCGTCCCCCACCTGCTCCTCCCCCTGCTCCCCCTGCCCCTCTTCCTCCCCCTTCCCCCACCCCCCCTCCACCCCTTCCTCCTCCACCCCCTCTTCCACCGTCCCCTCCCCTCCCACCCCCTCCCCCTCTCCCCCCACCTCCCCTCCCCGATCCATCTCTCCCTCCTCCTCCTCCTCCCGCCCCCCCTCTTCCCCCACCTCTTCCACCCCCCTCTCCCCTTCCGCCCCCTCCTCTCCGCCCATCTCCTCCCCCTTCTCCTCCTCCCCCTCCTCTCCCCCCAACACTCCCACGGCTAGAGGTGCTACTATCAGGGCTACCCAGCTGCCCCTCCCCTCCCCTCCCATTCATCCCCTCTCCTCCTCCTCCTCCTCCTCCTCCTCCTCCTTCCCCTCCTCCCCCTCTTCCTCCGTCTCCACCTCCTCCTCCTCTGTTCTGTCCCATACCCCCCCCTCTACCTTTGTCACTGGGAATCGTCCCTTCTCTGTTACCACTCCCCATCTCCCTTCCAGCAGCAGCGGGAGAGGGAGGGCCGGGGAGAGGGGCAGGCTGCTGCAAGGGAGGAGGGGGTGCCGCAGAGTTTCTCCTCCCACCCATACCCATACCTCCGGATTCCGCTGCTGCTGCCGCTGCATCTGCTCTTTCTCCTCCCCTTCCTCCCCCCCCTCCTCCCCCTCCTCCTGCTCCTCCTCCTCCCCCTCCCCCTCCTCCACCACCACCAGAAGCAGAAGCGCCACCACCACCACCAGCAGCCAGCCGCTCAAACCGTGCGAGGGCTTGATCTGTAGACGCCTGCAGCTGCCTTTGCTGCTGCTGCTGCTGCTGCTGCTGCTGCTGCTGCTGCTGCTGCTGCTGCTGGTGATGCACTGCACTTGCGGAAGAAGCACCAGCAGCAGTGCCACCAGCAGCACCACCACCACCACCAGCCAGGCGTTCAAATCGGGCTAAAGCTTGATCTGTTGACGCCTGCAACAGCTGCTGCTGCTGCAACGAGCTCATAGCACGCCCCCTCTCACCTCCTACCTGCCCTCCCGTTGTCCCCACACCCTCTCCCCCTCCCCCTCCCCCGTTCATCCCGCCCTGGGACCCTGCACCTGCTCCCGCCCCACCCAGGAGCCCTTGCAAGCTTGCTAGTCCTGCCAAGCCCCTGCCTAAGCCGCCTAGCCCCCCTGCTCCCCCTGCTCCTGCCCCTCCCCCTCCCCCTCCCCCTCCTCCTCCCCCGCCCATACCACCTCCTCCTCCTCCCCCTGTCCCACCTCCCCCCACTCCCCCACCACCTCCTCCCCCTCCTCCTGCTCCTCTCCCTTCCATCCTTCCTCCCACTTCCCGTTCGAATCCCCCATTCATCCCACCCCCCATCCCATTTCCTCCACCCCCACCTCCACCTAACAGCCCTTGCAGACTAGCCAATCCTGCTAGACCACTGCCCAGCCCCCCTAATCCCCCTTTCCCCCCTGGTGATGCTCCCCCTCCCCCTCCCCCTCCCTCTGACCCCACCTGTCCTTCCCTCCCAAACCCACTTCCCCCACTGATACTTAAACTCTTCCCACCGGCACTTAAACTTCCTGCTTACTGTCACGCTCCGGGCTCTTAGCACCAGCAACTGTACTCTCTATAGTCTGCTCTGCTAACCACACTCTTAGTGGATTAAGCCTCTTCTTTAACAAATCCTGTTCCGAAGTGACCTTAGAGGGAAAACCCAGAACGGAACTTTGTGATTGGCCGGGAGGGGAAGTAGGAGATAGAGCAGCATTCCCTCCCCGAGAATACTCGTTAGAAGCTGCCTCTTTATAAGCACTCTCTGCACTATCACCTGCCTCAAGAGAAATCTCGAAAAACACCCCCCCGCTTCCACTATCTGACACTCCCGCACTCGAGCCAACACTCACTCCCCTCCCCTCTCCTTGCTCCTGCTCCTTCCCCTCCCCACCCCTTCCTCCTCTCGCCTCACCGCCCCCACTAGCCCCCCCCGCATCACTGCTCCTCCCAAACGCACCTCCTCCCTCGTCCCCACTCTCCCTGCCGCTTACTCCCCTCTCTCCCCTCTCTCCTCTCTCTCCTCTCTCTCCATCTCTACTCGACATAGAACCCAGAGGAGCAAGAGCAGCTAGTAAGTCTTCTTTGGAAATTGAACCTCTCCTGTTCATACTTAACCCCCTAGGCAGGTCACTCTGCATGGAAACCGAACCACTTCCCATACCTCCTCCACCACCTCCACCTCCTCCCGAACCTCCTCCCAGGCCTACAAGATTCCCTGCTGATCGTCCTCTCGGACCTCCCGGCAACCCTCCACCCGAGCCTCCTCCCAAACCAGCCAGGTTCTCCGCCGAACCTCCCAGCGGCCCTCCGAACCGCCTCAATCCGTCCTCCTCCCCACTACTCACCACCTCTCTCCCTCCCATCCCTCCCATCCCTCCCCCCTCTCCTCCTTCCCCCCCTCTCCCTCTCCCTCTTTCCCCAACCGCCAAAGCAGCTGCTGCCGCAGCCGCTGCCGCCGCAGCAGCAGCAGCATCCCTCTCCCTCTTCTCTCTCTCCTCCCTCTGAATCCTCGCTAGCCGCTCCTCCATCCCCTCCTCCCACTCACTATCCGTCCCCTCCCACTCCGTCTCAGTCAGTTCCCCCAGCGTTGACCCCCTCCTGTGCCTCCTCCGCCGCCCATACCCCGAACCTACAGCCATCTCCCCGCCGAAGCTGTTTCCCAAGCCTCGGAGCAGGCCCGTACCGAACCCGCCGAACCCACCGCTGCTGCCCGTACTAAGGGGACTGCCTAAGGGGCTGCTGAGAGGAGAACCTAAGGGACTTCCCCCCAAGGGGCTTCCCCCCAAGGGGCTTCCCCCTAAGGGGCTTCCCCCCAAGGGGCTTCCCCCTAAGGGGCTTCCCCCCAGGGGGCTTCCCCCCAAGGAGCTCCCCCCGCGAGGACTCCCCAAGGGGCTCTGTAAGGGACTTCCCCCAAACGGACTGCCTAGGGGACCATGTGCTATTAAAGAGGGCGTGGTAGAAGCACGACCATTAGAAGCACCAGCAGCGATACTGTCCCCCAGTCCTAGCCCGAGGCTGATTTGACTCCCCAAACCGCCAACCGACCCTGCTGCCGAACCTCCTCCTGCTGCTGCTGCCCCCCCCCCTCCACTACCCCCCGAAAGTCGCCGGACGTGCGATGAGCCATGCTCGTGCCCATGCCCACGTGCATGCCCATGCTCATTTGTACCTGTTGCATCATCCCTCCTCAAGAATCGGTCCCCCTCACCCTCCCTCCCCATTCCGCCCATCCCCATCACCATGCCCATGCCATTCCCACCCATACCTCCTCCCATACCTCCTCCCATTCCTCCCAAACCTCCCACCGTAGCTGCCGCCTTCTCAATCTCCGCCTTCATCATCTCTGCTGCCAACCCTAACCTCTTCTCCCGAGCCTGCTGCCGAGCCAGCTGCCGTTCCTCCCGCCGAAGCTCCAATTCCTGGTCCGTATCATATTCCTCCACCTCGACCTTCTTCTCCAGACGCCATAGCCGCTCCTGTCTCTCCCTCCTCTTCGCCTCCTCCCTCTCCTCTCTCTCTGTGTCGTAATCCCCCTCTGTTGTTTCGCCCTCTGTGTTTGTATCAAGACCCTTTTCCCGCCACCTGTCCAGCCGCCCATGTACACTCTCGTCGTCTGATGCGGAGATGTAACCGCCGCCCCCACCGCCGCCCATGCCGCCGCCCATTCCGCCACCCCCGCCGCCGAAGGAGAGGGTACGGGCCGGGGGAGAGAGCGGGGAGAGCGGCGAGAGGGAGAGGACGGAGGAGGGGAGAGGAGAGAGAGGGGAGAGTGGGGAGAGAGGAGCGAGAGGAGAGTGAGGGACAGGGGAGGGGGCTTCGGACGAGGATGCGGGAGAGGGGGGAGTGGCTAGCCCGGGACTTAAGCTGAATCCCGAGGACACGCTTCCTAGAGGGGAATTTGCTGCCGAGCCTGCTGCCGAGCCTCCGGCCGGCGAGGCTGTGCCGAAGCTGGGTGCGGCGGAGCTGGTTCGGGAGAGGAGGGATAAGCTGCCGGTCTTTCTATGGGCTACGATTCCCTCCCATCCTCCCCCCCATGCTCCCCCTCCTCCTGCCCCTCCCCCTCCCCCTCCTCCTGCCCCTCCCCCTCCCCCTCCTCCTGCCCCTCCCCCTCCCCCTCCTCCTGCCCCTCCCCCTCCCCCTCCTCCTGCCCCTCCCCCTCCCCCTCCTCCTGCCCCTCCCCCTCCCCCTCCTCCTGCCCCTCCCCCTCCCCCTCCTCCTGCCCCTCCCCCTCCCCCTCCTCCTGCCCCTCCCCCTCCCCCTCCTCCTGCCCCTCCCCCTCCCCCTCCTCCTGCCCCTCCCCCTCCCCCTCCTCCTGCCCCTCCCCCTCCCCCTCCTCCTGCCCCTCCCCCTCCCCCTCCTCCTGCCCCTCCCCCTCCCCCTCCTCCTGCCCCTCCCCCTCCCCCTCCTCCTGCCCCTCCCCCTCCCCCTCCTCCTGCCCCTCCCCCTCCCCCTCCTCCTGCCCCTCCCCCTCCCCCTCCTCCTGCCCCTCCCCCTCCCCCTCCTCCTGCCCCTCCCCCTCCCCCTCCTCCTGCCCCTCCCCCTCCCCCTCCTCCTGCCCCTCCCCCTCCCCCTCCTCCTGCCCCTCCCCCTCCCCCTCCTCCTGCCCCTCCCCCTCCCCCTCCTCCTGCCCCTCCCCCTCCCCCTCCTCCTGCCCCTCCCCCTCCCCCTCCTCCTGCCCCTCCCCCTCCCCCTCCTCCTGCCCCTCCCCCTCCCCCTCCTCCTGCCCCTCCCCCTCCCCCTCCTCCTGCCCCTCCCCCTCCTCCTCCTCCCCCTCCATCCCCTCCTCCTGATGCTCCTGCTCCTCCTGCTGCTCCCCCTCCTCCCCCTCCCCCTCCCCCTCCCCCTCCTCCCTCCCCTGCCGCGTCACCCACCCGACCCAGAGTCAACCTGAGGAAATGAGGAGGAAGCAACCTTCCTCCCCCGACCCCAGAATTGGGCGGCGAAAGCGATGCAGTGCGGGTAATCCCAAGGGGACTGCCGCCCAGGTGACTGCCGCCCCTTGCCGCCCCAAAACCAGCAGCAGCAGAAGCCCCACCCTCCTCCATAAGTATAGAAGACATGAGACGAGGCACCCCTTCCCCTAGGCTGTGAATATTCGTACCACCACCGCCACCACTGCTACCACCACTGTTGCTGATAGAGTAATTTCCGGTCCCCCCCCCAAGGGGACTGGAACCAATACCACTACCCCCACCACCACTGCCAGCACCCCCACCAGCACCACCACCCCCACCCCCACTGCGACCGGTAACCCCGACAATTCCACTCAGGGTCCTCCCAAGCCCACCAGGAGGGGGGGTACCCTTCACAAACGCAGTCAGCTCAGCTTCACTCATCGTCACCGAACCTGCCCCCCGACCTGGAATCCCAGAACCAAACCTCCGAACCGGCAGGTTCGCCAGCTCAGGGTCGGTGGCCGGCAGCCACGGCACCTGCGGGCGGAGGTTCGGCGCGAGGGAGTGGTGGGAGCGGGAGGAGGGGGAACCGGGGGAGGGTGACCCGGGGGAGGTGGGACCTAGCGAAGTCCCCAGCATGTTGAGTCTGTCTACAGCGAATCTGGGATTCGCGCTGCCCCAGGTAAAGCCTCCCCCGGATCCGCCCCGCAGGGCTGAGAGGTCCACTGAGGCGTGGCGGACGAGAGCAGAGGCGGCTAGGCGCTGGGCGGGGGAGCGATTGGCAGGAAGCTGGGAGCGGGGAGGAGGGGTGGGAACATGAAACGGCGCCCCTGCTTCTGCTGCTGCTGCTCCTCCTGCTCCTCCTGCCGCTCCTGCTCCTGTTGTCCCACTGTTACCCTGCTTCCCTCCCCCCAACTGGTGCTGCTGCTGCTGATCCCTCCCAGGGCTTACCACGCTCCCCCCTCCCCCCCTCAGACCCCCTCTTGGGCTCGAATCCCTCCCAGGAGAAGCACCGCCCCCAGTTCCCACCTCCCCACCTCCCCCAGCAGCACTGCCCGCCCCCTCCTCAGCCCCACCTGCATTAGGTAGCAATCCTAAGTTCTTAGCCGCTTCCAACCGTTTCATAGCCACTAACTGGGCGGCAGCCAACCCTCCGAACCCTCCGCCGCCGCCCAGCCCGCCGCTCATCTCCAGCAGCTCGGCAGGTGGCGCCGACATTTGCCGCCCGTGGAATCGCAGGCCGGGGGATAAAGACGCGGAAGCGGCAAAGCCAGACCCCAAGCCCGAACCGAAACTCGAACCGAAACCCGAACCAAAACCCGAACCAAAGGCAGATCCCGGACCAGAACTGAACGCGGAACTAGCAGCAGGTGATGCTGGTTTCTGCACTCTTTCTAGAGGGGTTCCTGCAAGCAACGGCGCCCCTCCTTCCTCCTCTCGTGCACTTCCCGTTTTTCCCGCTTCCCCCCCTCCCCCCATTCCCCCCACTCCCCCTGCTCCCCCAGAACCAGTACCCCCCCCAGTTACACCCGCACCAGTCAACCCCTCGAACAATGGAGACGGCGGGGGTGAGGTGGGAGACTCAAGAGGTGTACCTCCCCCTCCCCGCCCTCTCCCGCTAGTCCTCTCCCCCGCACCTCCCCCTCCCCCTCCGCCTCCCCCTCCCCCGCCCCCGCCACCCGCCCCCGCCCCAGCCCCCGCCCCAGCAGCACGGGCTTCCAGCCGGGCTGTAGCGGCGGCGGTTGTAGCGGCAGCGTGGCCTGACGCGCCTGTGACAGCTGCTGCGGCGGCGAACAGGGCTGCTTCTGCTGCGGAGGAGTTCCCGGCTGTAGCGCTACGGCCTAGGGGGCTGGGGCGACGGGGCTTTTCTATGCGCGGGAAGATTGTGGCGAATACTGGCGGCGGCTCCTGCTGCTGCTGCTGCTGCTGCTGATGATGATGATGATCATGCTGCTGCTGTTGTTGCTGCTGCTGCTGCTGCTGCTGGTGCTGCTGCTGTTGTTGTTGCTGCAGCTGTTGCTGCTGTTGCTGATGCTGGTGCTGCGGCTGCTGCTGTTGCTGCTGGTGTTGTTGCTGCTGGTGCTGCTGTTGTTGGTGCTCCCTATTGTGCCCTAACGGGATAAAACCTCTGAATCTCGTCTCCTTATCTTCCTCTTCCTCCTCTTCTTCCTCCTTATCTTCCTCCTCCTCCTCTTCCTCTTCCTCTTCCCCCTCTTCCTCCTCCTCGTCTTCTCCCTCAGGAAACCCCTCGTTCTCCTCCTCCTCTTCCTCCTCCATTCCCTCACCATCCGAGCCGTCTCGAACCGCCCTTCCACGCCCATCTCCGGGACGCATACCATACAACCCTAATACTCGGGACTTTAATCTCTTGGTCCCCAAAATATCCCCCTTACCCTCACTCCCCGAGTCGCCATCGAGCGAAAGCGCGGCCCAACCATCGTCTGACACGTCATCCTCCCCGACTAACTCCGCCTCCCCCCCATCTTCCGCGTCGGATTGCGCAACATACAGCTTTAAACCTCTCCCCGAGCCGCTCTTTTCATCCAGACACCCCCCGGCATGTCGATCCGGCACTTTAACCTTAATCAATCTTACTCCTCCGTCCCCCCACCACCCGCCTAACGCCATTTCCGTCGCCCGCGCTCCCCCTTTCCCCCCCTTCCCTCCCGCGTCGCCTCCTCCGGACCGCCCCTTCTTCCCGCCATTCCGAATCGCAACTCGAGCCGCCGCTTCGATCGCGTCCGCCGCGTCCTCAAGCGCCGCCGCGGCGCGTTCCCCCATTCGCGCGCTCTCTTCGCGCGCTTTCTCCACGTCACGGAGGACACGTGTCATCTCCTCCTGTAGCCTGGCTGCCTCCCGCCGAGCCCGCGTCGCCAGGCCAGCAAGGAGCGCCACGTCCAAGAAATCGCCGCCCTGAACAGGCCGCAGCATGCCGTTAATCGGACGGCCTGCCTTTCTTCCCGTCTCCCCTCCCCCCACTTCCCCCCCGCCGTCCCCGCCGCTCCCAGTCCTGCCATGGCGACTTCCCCCTCCGCCGCTGGTTCCGCGAGCGCGTTTCTCCGCCTTGTCTCCCCCCGAGATCCCCCTTTGCCACTGCTTGCGCAGCTGGTTCTCCGCGCGCTCAAGCTCTACAGTTTGCAGCGAAGCCGCTTGGATGATCTGTTTGTCGCCTAGCACGGCACGCTTCTCCCCCGGGAAGCTCCCTGCGACTGCTTCACGCGACGTTCTGTGCGAAGGATCTGGGTCGGCGAAAAATCGCATCATTGTCTGTCGCTGTGCGACGTCGCTATTTCTAGGATAATCGCATGGTTACGGTTGTCGTTGATAACGACTATCAGAGGGCGAAAGGCTGCGAAAATAATCGAAGATCAAGCATAGGTCAAACAATTCACTCGTATCACTATCTTATTTCGATAATTACCATAAAAGCACAAGAAAATCGCTAATGTCAAAACAGCTTCTCTTCAGCCCCCGCTCGCTAGAACTGTCAGTTGAGTGCTCAAGCGTCAGCTGAGAAAGGACGCGCAAATTGCTAGAATGCTGGCTAGGATTAAGTCGTCTATTTAACACAAAACATAAATAAGATCGCACCCCGTCGACTACGGTGAGCGGAAGACACGGAACGGATGATTTTGGAGAGCAGTAGTGGTTCAAGAAGAAACGCAACTCTGAACAAATGATAGCTGGAGTGAGGAATGAGGTGAGGAGTCAATGGAAGGAATCAGGATAGCCCCAGTTCACTTGTGACGCGTCCTCAGAGGTGCTGGGAGCTGTTTGTGGTGGTGGTTGGTTGAAGGCAGCTCCGGGCACCTAGAGATTATCGGCTTTCGCGAGGTGTTCTAAGGGGGTCAGCATTAGGTTTGAAAATACGCACTCGCAACTGTTCTCGTCAGATATTGTAACATGTGGATTCTTATTCGCACGGCTTCCATGCCTCTACGTCGCGAGGATTTGCGAGGTATTCGCGTATCGTTGCGCTGGTACGGAACGGCGCTGGGTACAAGTGTGGTTGGTTGGTTGGTCCCTTGAAGGAAGACCCAAGGGTGTGCTTCTTTCATCCCTATCTAACTAAACGACAAACAACAGAGCCCTGGCTTTGTGAAGTGGCGCAAAGCTGAAACTTGTGGCTCGCATCGCAAACGCACAGGCTTGGGGATAGCTGCGGAACCTGGCTGGCTTGGTGGCAACTTCCTCCCGATGTGATTCGTGGGTTCCGCCAGGCCTGTCAAGATTCGGTTCGGGGCTGCAGTTAGGCAGTTTTACAGGACATCAGACCACGAGCGCGTCATAGGTTTGGCTGGTGCCCTTGGTTCAGTGGCTCGGTTTGTAGACAGCAGCACCCTCGGAAGGGCTGGCACAAAGAAAGTTTAACCAATTAACAATATAGGTGTATAATTTATGACTTTGGAAGTGTATATACTTCGAGCACAGCCTTACCGAGAGACACTATATTGATAACTACACACAAAATCACTCCCAATAATTTAGGTTGCTCCGAAATCCGAACTGATTGATGCAAAATAGTGGTGTCGTTCTGTAGGCACCTGACGTTTGGGGGAGGAGGGAGGGAGAAGGGAAATGAGGAGGGTTCCGAGGTGGGTTCCGAGGTCGATTTCCCCCCCCTGGGCAAACACGGGTGATGAGAAATTTCGGATTTTGGGGAGGTAGTTTCCGAGGGAAAATGACGAACTTCTCGCGGAATTTCTCGCGTCCAATGGAGGGATAAAACGTGACCATCGAATGCAGGACCAGGATAGTTATTTGGGGCTGGGCGTTTTCAACATAGAAATCCCCAACATACAGGAGTGGTGAGCAGGCCGCCAGGGTTTTCACTTTGGTGGTTGGTGTGAGTTTTTAATTTTCGATTGGAGATTTGCTACCCGGTTTGGGTTAGTGCCTGTACAAGGAGCTTGTTTCTTGGGTGGGAGGCTGGTGTTCCCACGCCCAGCTCCTCCCTACCGTCACCGTCGCACTTCCCCGTGAAGGGTGGGTGGCCGATGGCGGGGCGGAGGCAAATAAATTTGCCCGAGGAGGAAGGTGGTGAGGGGAAATAGGAACCTTCTTGTGGGTGCATTTCCCTCGAGGGAAATGACTGCTCTGTAGGCATTTCCCTTCGATTAGGTTCGGAAGGGAAATGACTGCCACGTCGGCATTTTCTGGGCTGACCGCCCTTTCGAACCTAAAATTGCAGAGGCAGGCAGCTTCCTATTTTCCCTCCCCCTCCCTCCGTGATGCCTACAGAACAACACCAGTATCTACTCAGTCAACCGTTGCTGCCTCACAGAGTTAGAGACATTGGCTCCACAGGCGCTCACCTTGCCGGCTTCACACGATGATAGCTCCCATTTCTGCTGAAAGTTAGAAGCATCAGTATCGCGCCTTTGACCCCCCTGTTTCCAGCAACAATCACAGCCGTCCGTTACCTCAGTGACAATCTTCCATCCATCCAAATCAGATTTCTCCTCATCACCTTTCTTCCAGCTGCAGCTCGTCAGACCGACTCACGTAGATCGCCATTTCGCAAGGTCTCGCTTGTCCACGACAGTTCACGACACTTCGCGACTGCTCGCCACATTTCGCGAAAGTTCGCTGTTGTTCGCCAAAATCTCGCCATGGATCCGAGCCCCATTCACGCTCAGGTTCAGCAGTTGATCTCGCGAGCGCTCACCGGGATCCCTCCGCTCCCCGCATCCCACGACGCTCTCGCAAACCCTCAACCCAATGATCCGAACCGCGTCCCTTTAAAGCCGCTCCCTCAGGCTTTAGCGAACGCGGGAAACCCTAACGCGTGCAAGATCTGCCACGTGGACATTTTAGGAGGGCCTAAGTTCCGGATCTGCCTCTCCTGTGGCGCTCCGTCGCATCTATACCCCGCGACTCGGTCGTCCCTGGATGCGGCTTTAAGTACTGAACGGTCGAGTAGGCAGAGCGCGGGGAGTGGAGATGCTAGGAGTAGTGACGTCAGCCGGGGTAGCTCGGTTTCCGGCTCTTTACCGGGGACGAGTGTATCGGGGACGTCTAATTCGAGTAACGACAAGAGCGGCCTATGGCGGAACACCCGAATCGAACGGCGGTATCTGATGTCTCTTGAGTTCAAGCCGCAAGACGACAAGGTACTTTTGCATTCTCCGAGTGTTTGTGGTGTCCCGCTGTAACGACGTGGTTGTGGAGTCCTTTAAGTTCAAGCCGGATTGAACACCCGAATCTAGCGGATAACAAGGCAACAAGGCACATTTTATCATTTCTTGAAACCAGCGTCAACGCGCCTTCCTCTCCATTTCCCTCATTCTGTGGCTCTATCCTTTCTTCCTTCTCTCCCTCACCAGCGCCGCCGGTCCTCCACTAACCAGCCCACTGAGTGCACGCTCGCGGAAACCCCATCATGGCTCTGACTTTGTCTCCCTCTGTTTCTAATCTCTTCACTCCCTCAGCGTCGCCGGTCCTCCACTACCCAGCCCTCGGAGCGCACTCTTGCTGAAACCCTAGCGGGCATCAACGCACCTCCCCCAGATGCCACCTCCACCCGAGGCAGCACCGCCGCTCGAGGCAGCACTGGCAGCGCTGGGCGCACCTCGAATGCCTCAGGTGTCACCTCCGCCCGCGGCAGCACGGGTGCGCCTCCCTCAGGTGCCACCTCCACTCGCGGCAGCACCAGCTCTACTGCTTCGTCTGGTGGAGCTGCTGGTGCTGCTGGGACTGGTGGTAAAAGCGGTGCTGGTGGTGTGGGAGCAGCAGCAGCAACAGCAGGAGTAGGAGCAGGAGTAGATGCAGCCACTGCAGCAGCAGCAACGCCAGCAGCAGCAGCAGCGCCAGCAGCAGCGGCGCCGCCTGTTCCCTCTCAAGCACCTGATTTCATACCAGACGATTTCTTCGCAGCCCCATCCACTGTCTCCTCCACTTCTACTCCTGCCGCTGTCTCCTCAACTCCTGCTGCTCTCCCTTCTGCGTTCTCGTCCGCTCTGCCCACGCCATTACCTGCTCCTGGCGCTCTTCCCGCTTCTGCAGCCACCTCTGCCCTTGCTGCCACGTCAGCATCACCTGCAGCTGTCCCCGCTATTCCCAGTGCGAGCGGAGCAACAGGAGCAGCAGCCGCTGCTCCTTCGTCGTTCTTTGCTGCCAGTTTTGGATCAGCAGGGGTTCAGCAGCAGCAGCAGCAGCAGGGTGCAGCGACTATCGCTCCAGAGAGGCACAGCAGGTACGTTTTACTCAATAGGGTTGACTTTTGAGTCGACTTAATTGTCAGTTTTGGATCAGCGGGGGGACAGCAGCAGCAGCAGCAGCAGGGTGCAGCGACTATCGCTCCAGAGAGGCACAGCAGGTACGTTTTACTCAATAGGGTTGACTTTTGAGTCGACTTAAATGTCAGTATTGGATCAGCGGGGGTATAGCAGCACCAGCAGCAGCAGAGTGCAGCGGTTATCACTCCAGAGAGGCACAGCGGGTACGTTTTACTCAAATGCTTGCAGGTCTGCTGCCCCTTCAGCTTTCTTTGCTGCCAGTTGTGGACCATAAGCGGCCCAGCAGCAGCAGCAGCAGCAGCAGCAGCAGCAGCAGCAGCAGGGTGCAGCCGTTATCACTCCAAAGAGGCACAGGAGGCACGCTTGGTTCAAGTCTTACGGCACTAGCGCCTTGACTCCCATGGTTTGCTTTCTTGAATTGCTGCTGGGTATTGCTATCAAAGTCTCTGTGCCTTCTGTCATTCACTTCTTGATTTCGCAGCACCTCTGTCTCTGTAGAAGCAATTTCTTGTCTCCCCTCATCCCCCTTCCCTCTCCCCCTACCCTTTCACCTTCCCCTTCCTTCCCCCTCCCGCCCCCCATCCTCCCACTGCAGTGGTTCTTCCGCTCTGGATTTCTTCTCACAGCTCAGTGGTATCACAAGCTCTGTCCTTTCTGGCACCGCCTCCTCGTCTTCTTCTGCACACCCATCCGGCGCCACTCACACCAATGACCCTGCTGCTGGCATGAGCGCTTTCGCCGGCAATTTTGCGGGCAGTTTTCCTGGGAGTCAGCCGTACACCTCCCATGACGGGCAGTTCGGGCAGTTTGCAAAACCGGAGCCGGCGAATCCGGTGGTGCAGGAAATTTTGCAGTCCCTGCCCGACCTGTCGTTCATGCTGGCTGATCACCTGGTGGTGCCCGGGAGGGATCCGGGGGGGTTGAGGGAGTTCAATAGCCGGCCTAAGGTTTCTGCTGCATCGATTATTGCATCGTGTGTTCCCCCTCGGGCTGTAGCACACGCTGCAACTGTGCCAACTGCAGGAGGAGCCGGGGCAGAAGCAGGAGCAGCAGCAGCACCAGCAGCAGCAGCAATTGTTGATTCTGCTGAGGGTGCGACGACGAGTGCATTGGTGGGGAAGAGAGCGAAAAGCAGCAGATGCCAGCAGCTGGATTTGATTCTATGGAAGATTCTGCAGCGGCAGGTCATGCTGCGATCACAGCACCTGATGCAAACATGGCATCAGCTGCTGCTGAAGTTGTTGGTTCTGCAGCAGCTGGGAGTGGCCCTGGGATGGTTCCACAAGTGGGAGAGACTTCTATGTCTTCCGTGATTGCAGGAATGTCAATGGGGGGCTTTATGGATGGTTCAGAGGAGGATAATGACGACTGGGGCGACTTTGAGTCGTAGTTGGAGAGAATGGCTGACCGTAGGCTGAAAAGGTTTATTTCGTTATTTGACATCAGTAGCTTTGTGGGATCTGATGCTTCATGTTCTGTTTGCTTTATCTGTACCGTACTTGAGAAGACATTGGCGTTGTTCGCCAGCACTTTTAACAAGCCCGGGCAGCCCTGCAAACCAGTGGTGGACGTCGAAAAAAATCGGGCAAGAGAATTTGTGCGTTCGATGTGTTAGTGATGGTGTGTTGGTGATGTGTGATTTTCCAGCTGGCAAGAAGAGGGGCATGAAAGACCCGGATTTGTTTTTTTCAGGGCAATGTGTGATTGCCCCGAATCACTGATACCTCGTGTGGTGCGGGCTCTCGAGGCCGCATGGTGCGGCGTATCAGAAAATGGACCATTTGCCTGAGAAATAGAGTTCGAGGAAGATTCCTCTGGTGGAAAATTAAGACAAGACTCTTCAAGGAGTCTGCAGAGCAGTCGTCATAGGAGCAGTCGTCATAGCATTTAAGATCTCAATCATACAGCACACTAGATTACAAATTACAAATAGTGGTAACTTAAATCAACATAATGATTTGTATCTAAACTAGTTTATGTATGAATAGAATTTCTCTACAGGGAGGGAGGGGTGGGTTGTAGATTCAGATCTACGAATGAAATGGACTAGGTGGCAGGTCCGTGGACCTGCCACAAGATAAGGAGCACTTGACTCCTTACTGCATGCTCCTTTACAAGTCTTGTCACAATCTTTAAATTTTGAAATATAATTCAAAATTTTTCATATTAAGACAAGACTCTTCAAGGAGTCTGCAGAGCAGTCGTCATAGGTTGCACGAGACATTAGGTATGTAAGTAAAAAGAATGATTATTCTTACTATTAAAAATATTGATTTTTACGCATTACGCTTCTTATCGGGTGGACCGGGAAGAGAATTTCCATGAAATTGGGGAGAGCAAAGAAGGCTTCGCAAGCATCACCGAGAGTAAGCAACAAGGATATTATCTATCTTGCACTGAAGAATTCAACACCTTTGCAAGCTTTCCAAGTTACGGGCCAGAGAAGCTTTCCAAAGTGTTTAGGCGTGTGCTTGTTCAAGACAGAACTACGGTAACGAATTGTCCGCGGTGTACAATAGCGCGATAAATATTGGTCAGTACATGAGCACGAATGGTCTGGTTGATGTTATCATGGTGATGCAATAGCGCGATAAAAATGGCCCGTACATGAGCATGAACGGTCTTGACTATGTGATTCTGATGATGTTATCACTCCGTAGCACGCTGACGCGACCAGCGCTACATGGTCGAGAAGAAAACCATGGCTCTCGTTAGATTGCATGAGATTCTGAATGGCATTGGCTAAACAATGACTTATTTATGTAATGCATAACGCAAGGCAGCGTTGAGAATAAAGGCTTCGAAAATTGTACATGCTTCACCGCTGTCAATCACTTGTGAGGTGACATACTGAGGATTGAGGCATTCAGATATATGTACGTGTGTATCATTTGTGCGTAATACTTGCGAAAACAGTATGGACCGCATATTTCAATGCCAAGGAAAAGCGGTTGTTCGTCAACTTTGATCATGGGCATCACAACTTTCGAGATGAAAAACGCATCATTGAAAAATCCGTACTTGCCAGGATACACGTAAGACGAGACCCTCTTCACGAGACCGTCGTCGTAGGGTGGAACATATTGCGTCAGATGCGTAGAGAAGATTTGTGCCGATGCAAACGCAAAGTAGTGTGCGCGTAAGGCCACAATGCAAGTATTCGTAGCGGAGGTGCTCATGACACAAGCACGAGCCGAGTTTGGATAGACACTTTGTTCATGATAATGCTTTCCGCAGCATCGTACCAAAGAGGCACACGCACGTGCCTTTTCTGTTCAAACAACCAACGAAGAATGAACATATGCTCGTGAGATGAACCTGAAGTGATCCATGAGTACATCGACGCACGTGCAAAATACTTTGTAAGATGGCAGGCTAGATCATTGTTGTGGTTGTGACACATTCCGTGTCGATACAAACGTAAACGCGAGGACAAGATGCTCATCACGACCCACAGTAGGGCATACCCTTATACCCTGCATAGTGTTTGCGTGGGGATGGTTTTTCATATCCAATAATGACCAATAGAATTCTGGTTGTGTGAGTATATAGAAGAAACCGCGCTCTAATTTCCTTGACCGGATGCCAAGACGCGGTGTCGTCGAATAAACCCTTAAGCATGTATACATGCATGTTGCCATATAGCCACAGAGTAAAGAAGGAACCTTTGTAACGGATGTACTGTACTTGTAAGGCCAATGCAAAGTCTGTTATGATGGATTGGTTTCTTCAAAAGACAGCCCTTGCTACAATTCTTATGCCAAACATGACAATCTCAAAGAAGAACGTCGAATGAGTCACAATAATGGCAATGGCAAAAAGAACCTGGCAAACGCCAGGGTTGATAACGCCAACCCGCATGTAGAGACGTTACGTCAAATGTTCGCAAAATTCGCATGGGAACGCTGGTAACTACCGTGATTGATATTGGCAGTTCCGTCCAAAACAAACGTGTAACTTTGCAAAACAATACCGCGAGCAAAGACTTCATCATCTCAAGCGGTTGATCCCAGCCACCAAGCTCATGTCATTCAGAATGGCAGACAACCAAATGTCCAATCCAAACCCAACGTTTAATCTCCACGTGTAGTTTCAGCAACTTCAACGTGGAAAATCGAATGAGTGATATACGATATCGTAATTGGTAGAGGGCATATTTACGCCATAAACAACTTCAAACGCCAATATTGCCCCCCCCCCCCCCTTTTTTTTTTTTTATTACCGGTAGCAATGGTGGTGTAAGCGCAACTGACCGATATCTCGGTATCAATAGTAATGCATGTCCTTTGCACATTCGCGATGCGACCCATTGGGAGGAAGAACTTCATAGTCCAATTGTTTTGGGTTTTATATAAAAACCAGGGATTTAAGAAATGATCTATTTCGCTCGAAAGGGTAACGCATAAAATAGAAATTAGCCCTGGCAAATGCCAAATTACTTTACTCTTTATTTTAATACGTATCATTTTTGGAATTTTATCATACGCCTGGCCCTTTTTTTTTTTTTTTTTTTTTTTTTTTTTTTTTCACAGCAACGAGATTTTGCCGTGTTGTCTTGCAAAGGCGTAATCTTATAAGGCCATAATTAAAGTGCCATAATCTTTATAAGGCCATGACCTTAAAAGGCCATCACTGAGATTGCACTGAGCACTCCTATAGGTATGAGTGCTTTCCAGCACTACCAGCAGCTGCAACGGCAGCACCAACACGAGCACCAGCAGCAACAGAAGTCATCCACAGAGTGCAGTACACCATCCACAGCAGCGCCACCAGTGGCGACCTCCTTAGCACCTGCAGTAGATCGCGCACCACACGCCGCCAGCAACAGATCGCGAGGCACCAGCAGCAGATCGCGCAGCATCAGCAGCAGATTGCGCAGCATCAGCAGCAAATCGCGCAGCATCAGCAGCAACTCCTGCACCGTCAGCAGCAGCGCGCGCGGATTCAGCGGCAGCTCGCGCAGTGTCAGCAGCAGATCCCGCAGCGTCAGCAGCAGCTCGCGAATCGTCGACAGCAGATCTCGCAGCAGCGGCAAATCGCGAGCTGCATCAGCAAATCGCGAGCTGCAGCAGCAAATCGCGAGCTGCATCAGCAAATTGCGAGCTGCAGCAGCAAATCGCGGGCTGCAGCAGGAAATCGCGAGCAGCAGCAGCAAATCGCGAGAAGCAGCAGCAAATCGCGAGGAGCGGCATCAGATCCGAACACCAGCAGTAGATCTCGCAGCGCCACCAGCAGATCGCAGCAGCAAATCTCGCCGCATCAACAGATCTCGCAGCAACAGCAGCAAATCGGAAGCACCTGCAGCAAATCGCGAGCCGCAACAGCAGAAATCACAGCAACCGCATCGACCACGAACACCAGCACCAAATCTCACCGCAGGGACCGCAGATTGCGTGGTAACGGCAGCCGCAGACTACGCGACGACCTTATCGATTGTGCAGCCGCGGCGATCGCGCAACGGCAGCAGGTGGTAGGAGCCATTGCGACATTAATCGCACTAGCAGAAGCTGTCAAATGCTATATCCCGCAATTTCATCATTCTGCACCAGCAGCAGTAAACAACCTCGCCATGCACACTCTGAACGCACCACCGCAGCAACATCCGACGAAGATGGTTTCACTCGTAAAAAGCATAAGTGGTGATTTCGTCAAGTACGGCGGCGTTAGGAGCAGGATAACATAGAGGCGGCAATGGCGGGGAGGTTGATAGTTTCCATGTGTGTGCTTGTAGATTCAGATCTACGAATGAAATGGACTAGGTGGCAGGTCCGTGGACCTGCCACAAGATAAGGAGCACTTGACTCCTTACTGCATGCTCCTTTACAAGTCTTGTCACAATCTTTAAATTTTGAAATATAATTCAAAAATTTTCATATGCCAGCGTCGAAAGGGGTGTTCGGCTGGCATTCCATTATTGTCTGGTTCGGCGATGATCCGCTTATATCGAGCCTAGATAACCTTTCACGCGCTTATCAAAGAAGGCTCCAGGGTGGTCGGTTTACTGTAGCCCATACGGGGAAACCGTTTTTTTAATGCCTGCCGAACTGGGCCCAGAATTGCCTTGGAATGGCCATGGGTTTGGAAGGATGTGGAGGGGGGGAACGGGGAATTGGAAGGTGGGGAGGGTGGTTCCTGATCCCGTTGCCACCCTTCCCCTTTCTCGCGCGAAATTTCGCGATTTGGCCATTCCCCCCACACCTATTCGGGAGGTTCCTCCTCTGGTTCGTGATTCCACGGCCATTCCGAGGCCTTTCTTTTTTTAGATGTGCTGGCAAACACCGCCATTGGACGTGTCTGCGTGTGTTATTATTAC